AGGATTTAAGACGTGGTGGTTTGGGATAAAGGTGCTTTTCAGCTTGGGACAATTGTTTTTCAAATTCCGATTCCTCTCTGATCCCTCTGCACATATCGAATGGTCCCCCAACAGCGTAGCGCTTTTTGAAAGGACCCTCACACAGGCACGCGCACGCAATTTTCAGAAGTCTCATTTTGGCAGCACGAGGTTTTGCAACAGCTTGGCTCCCACGCAGGACGTCAAGTTGAATGATACTGGCAAGGCTCCCTTGGGCTTGCGCTTGGTTTTCTTTTTGCAGTCCATAGGTCTAGGCAGAACTGCAATGCAGATGCTCAAGTTGTCCTCCATCCACAGTGGTCGTAGTGGTGAGAATCGCAAAGCATTCCAATTTGGGAAATTGATAGCCGAGCATTTAGGCGTCGCTTACGAAGTTGGACTCAACTTGGGACCTAGCATCTGGTAGTTGCAGGCAGCGGGTTCCTTCTTTCGTGACGCCCCAGCACACAATCCTGCCAGAGTTAGATGCTGACGTAAGTGGAAGGAATGAGTTAACAGTGCGAACAGCTGTTGGCTGTTGCGCTAGGTAAGGATGCACACGGACTGATGATGGCTTTAGACATGGTGACATGTCATAGCATATGATTATACATGTAGTATGTGTTCAGCGTAGACGTGGTCTGCCGTTTGAAGCCATCACGGTTTCTAGACCCGAACGGTGGCCAAATGCGTATGCGCTTGTCAAACATGAGCGTTTGCCGGCCTGTAGTGTAACCTCGCTGGGCAAATCCCCTAAAACCTTCCTCCCTAACAGTATTCTATCCAGCCTGGAACTTCAGGCAGCCCGAACCATTAGCACCCCAAACCCAGACCCTGAAGTTCGACCTCAGTGCTTGTCTGTGACTAGATTGCTTTCATCGAATGCGGTGATGATTCTAAAGTCCGTGTGCCTCCCAGCGAAGTGGCCTGTCCCTCAGAAGCCGGGAGACTCACAGTTAAGGTTGGAAGCGTGAACAAGCTTCAGCATGCTATGTGAGAGTTGCGCAGAGTGAGCCTTCAGAACTCCCTTTCTACTGGCTGGAGAGGAACGATGTTTAGTGTTCCATTATTCGCTACTTGTGGTAGTCAGTCCGGGTGAGTCCCCTACCCTGGTTTAGGGTTTTGAGATTGCGGTGTATGGCCTGTCAAGCTTGTCATTTGCCTGGGTGTTTGCTGCACCTCGTTGATTTCGTGTCTGCAAAGAAAGAAGGTTCCATGTGCAGGCAATAGCCAGCCCCTTCAGCAGTGACGACTCATGCTGGGGCTGTTGGGACCCAGATTGTCTTATCAAGCCTACTTGAGGCTTGTTGTGCCTTGTTTGGGCTTCTTGGATGCCATAGAAGTGGATGTTGGCTTATGCTCCCTGCTGTGAGGAGCAAGTCTCTGTGCAACTGACAGATGAGGTGCACCAGATGCCCCTGGTTGCGCAGTTGCTTCATCAGTTGCTGGCCAAGCTTATTCTGGCAGATAGCATGCGGATTCCATGTACCTGCCCTAAACCCTAAACCCTAAACCCTAAACCCTTGGATCATGGTTCCAGGTTCCTTGAGGGATCCTGAACGTAGTGAAGGGCCCTGCAGAGTATGCTCAATGTTGGCATTAAAGAGCTCAACTCCGAAACATATGAGCCATAGTCTAAACTCCTTAAAGGGGGCTTGTATATAGGGGATTATATAGGGT